TAAAGTGGGAAAGAGCCTGCCCAGCTACAGTGTGCCCCTGGAAACAGGTATGCAGCAACAGTGACTACGTGAAGCCTTAGGACTTGCTTTAGGACACAAATTTTATTTAATCTTCCTTAATTATGATGGAAATACAGTGCTCGGTGGCTTTCAAAGAGTCCCAGTCTTAGAGGAAAACAGAAACTTTTGTCATTTTGCACGTTTTGTGAACATGTCTTCAGAATTCTCTTGGTTTTGTTTTGTTTTGTTTTTTGTTGTTGTTTTGCTTTTTTGGTTTTGTTTGTTTGTTTTTCGAGACAGGGTTTCTCTGTGAAGCTTTGGAGCCTATCCTGGCACTCGCTCTGGAGACCAGGCTCTCGAACTCAGAGATCCGCCTGCCTCTGCCTCCCAAGTGCTGGGATTAAGGCCACCACTGCCCAGCACTAAGCTAACATGTTGCAAATCACTTAACATGGTGCCTGGTGCATAAGATCTCCATGGCAGGAAGCTATTATTGACTGAGACCACTGTATTTGAAAAACATTTATCAGACAGATTTGGTGGTACACACCTTTAATTCCAGCTCCAAGGAGGCAGAAGCAAGTGAATTTCTATGAGTTCAAGGCCAACCTAGTCTAAATAGTGAGTTCCAGACTAGCCAAGGGCTATCTTAATGCTCCCCCAAAAGACATCTAACAAAGTACTTACATTAATATGGATATTATTAGCATTGGTGAACTGGGTGATGTGTTCAATTACACCACAGGTGAGTCACAGTTGATGCCCGTGAAGGGGTTTCTGCATTCAGCAGACTCAGCAGCAGGATGAACAACCTCTTTGCATACCGGTTCTCCATCTGGGAGTCATTCTAGGATCAGGCATAGCTATTAAATCCCTTGTCTCGCATTCTTTCCAGAGTAGGGCTGAACTGGTTTTGGAGATCCAGTCTAGCAGGAATGCAAGGGTGAGGAGTGAGAGTGGGGGGGAAGGCATTCCTTCAACCCTCCCCTGAAAAGCTGAACCTTCCACAAAGTTCTTACTCAAACCTCAGGCCTGTTTGAGGTTCTGGAGGGGATGCAGTCCCCCAGTTTCAGGGTCACAGTCCTTCCCTGAACATGACAGATGCAGTGTGTGGAGTGCTTTGTTGTAGTAGAACACCTGAGATTAAATCCCTACTTGACTCTAGCTAAAAGTGTTTGCAAAAAGCATAATGAGTGTATTTTTAGCTTGAAAAAGACAAGTTACAGGTATTTACTGTTTGACTCATACCAAATAGACTTCATCTCTGAATAAAGTCAAAATCTTCCCATAAATATTCTAAAAATGAAAATCCACACTTTTTTTCCCAGGGTCTCTATGTAATCCTGGCTGTCCTGGAACTCACTCTGTAGAACAGGCTGGCTTCAAACTCACAGAGATACCCCTGCCCCTCGTTGGAACTGACCAGTCCTCTTGCAGTCATTTAGGAGGGCAGTGATAGAGGGTCTGGCCATAGGGAGGTCAAGACTGTATATCCATAACCCCCCCTACCCTCCCCACCCGTTACATTGCTCCTCTTCTGACCTTGGTTCCCTCTGGGCTCCTGCTTTCAGCTCCTTGTTGCCCTAGTGACATTAGCGCAGTGTTGGTGTCCAGTGACAGAATGGAAATTGCCTGGTCTCCTGTGCGTGGTGCTGAACTCTATGAAACCAAGGCCACAGCTGGGTTCAGTGTGGTGGAGTGCAACGACACTGCTCCTGCTTGCACCCTCTCTGCTTTGGATTGCGACACCAAGTACAACATCACAGTGTATTCCTTCAGCGAGGTCCGGGGCAGCAATCTGTCATGCTCCTCCCAATACATCACCACAGGTATGGAATTAACTATGCTGTCATTTACCGATGTCTAAATCGTCACCCTCCCTGTGTGCCTCAGGATAGCTACTCAGAAAGACCTATCTAAAGGGGGGCTGGGGAGGTGGCTCAGTTGTTAAGAGTACTACTTACTACTCCCCTTATATAAATAAGGTCAGTTGCCAGCACCCACATTTGGAGGCTCACAACTCCAGATCCAGTGATCCGATGCCCCCTTCTGGCCTTTGAGGGTACTGCATGCATGTGTCGAAACACATGAATTGAGGAGAGGCAGAGAAGAAAGTTAAAAAGGCAAAGTGGAAAGAAAGACAGGAGGAGATCACCGAGAAAGGGGGAGTTTGGGGCAGAGATTACTGACCTCAGCCATCGGGTTTCTGTTGCCACTGGAGACTGCCTGCTCTCCACGAGGTAAGCAGATGTTTGCCTGGTTATTTTGGATTTTGAAGTTCAAAATGTTTTATTTTCTAGTTGGCCCAAAACTGCAGGAATTAATACCCTTTGCCAATGTCAACGTTTTTCTGCAAAAAGGTTCTGTGAATTTGACCTATATGCATGTATGACTGAAAACAGTTGTTTGGGTTTTTGAAAGAATATTTTCCCACAAATTTCATACATACATAATGAATTTTAACACTGTCATTTTCCTCTCCCCCCACCAGGTGATCTTTGTTTAAAAAAAAAA